GAAAGAGTTAACAAATGCAATCAACAGAAGCCTGTTAATTTTTTTTGTGTCCTTAAGCAGCAGGGAATTTCTTCCTCATCTACCCAGGAAGATACAAGGACAGGCAGATACTACACTTGAATGTCTGCATCATTTTAATTACATCAGTTCATTAATATTCATTCAACACTTTGCAAGTGCTGAGTAGTAGTAAATTAGGTGCCTCCCTGATGCCTCTCGAGTGTCAGTGGGGCAATTTTGAACACGGGGGAGAGCGGGTTTGCGGGCAGAGCCCCTCTCCTCCCTGCCCACCCCGGCACACGGGAGCACCGGGGTTTTTCGAGCTCGGTGGGTGGAAGAGGCAGCTCAGCCCAGGGCCTGCTGCTCGCGGGGCCGGGGAGGGAGAGGGGAGGCAGGGGAAGTGAACGGCGTGTGCCTGCACGCTCCGTATTTACTGTCGCGCCCCATGAATGATGTAGGATTACAGAAGAAGCAGGCTCTCCAGCGCGGTTTAATTCTGCGTGCGGTTCTGTGCTGAACACCTGCCTTTTGGAGGTGAAGCTGGTCGATTCGTGCCTGTCCACTCCGTCCAGAAGGCGGGCGGGTGGGCAGGACGGGGCGATGGGGAAGGAGGGCCTGTGTTTGAGCCAGTGGTAACTGGGCACTGAGAAAACTGGCTCATCTCTGGAGGAAATTCATCCTAGATGTTGACTGCAGTTGGCCTTTCGTGGCATCTGCCAGGCACCCTGATTCAACACGTATCGGAGCTGTCTGCAGCTGATGAGACCCGTGCCTCCCGTTATCGTTAGCTGGAGTGGTCACTGTCCTGTCCTCGCTGCGTGGGGCTGGGAAGGTTGTTCCTTATCTTGCGGTCCTGTCCACACCTGTAGTAAATCTTTTCTCATTTGACGTGTGGGGTTACCTTTGACATGGCCAAAGAGAGGCCCCGGGAAGCGTAGGAGGAGCTTTGCGTTGAGCTGTGGGGCTCCTGGGACTCTCACCGCCGAGGAAGCGTTGCAGACCCGCTGGGAAGTTGTCTCCAGTTTTAGTGCTTGTTCCAAGACCAGACACGTCTCGAAGGCAGTGAGTGCTCAGGGTGCTCAGGTCTGTAAACGTTTCCGTATCTCCTCTTCCCCATGTGGGAAATGAGGATGGTAAAAACGTACACACCTCTAAGTGCCAGAGATTTACCGATAGACACCTTGTCTCCTCCAGCTCGCTACCTTGCATATCTACCCACACAGCTAACGTCTGAAAGCTGCGTCACGCCAATTCCCTCTCCACAGCCGGTGGTTTACTTTGGAAACAAGCTGGTGGCTCAGTCTGGGGTTTCAAAGAAGACACTTTTGTGTAGCTGGAGGAAAGAAGTCAGGGAGCCAGCTCTGAAATCTTTCAAATTCGTCTGTGCTTCCCCAGTGAGAGTTTGTTACTGAAAATGCTGCATTATCTCACTGATGTCCTTCTTCCCCTCTGCTCTTCACCTGACTGCCTCGCGCCACGTTCCCTGGGAGAGCGGCTGCTGCTGCTTCAGCCTCTCGCCGGAAAGGAGCTGGGTGCTGGGGGTCCCCAGGCCCCTGCCTGTCTGCCCAGGTGTCCCTGCCTGCACTGGTCGGGGCAGCCTCCTGTGGTCCCTCCCTACCCCTTTCTCTGTCCCCTGGGTACCTCTGAAGGCCCTTTCTGCTCCTTTCCGCAGCCAGCACTGGCTGACGGGTGAAGGGAGAAGTTCTCTGCCCGCTCGGGGCCCCGTGACGAGGTTGACCACTGGCTGTGCGGGCTGCGGAGCCCCGGGTCCGGCCGATGTGGGCAGCCTGGGCAGGTCGCCCATGGAGTTCGCACGCCCTGGCTGGGAGTTCGGCGTAGCCGCGCCGGAGGGGTGTTTGTGCCTGAGCTGCTGACAAAGAACTCAATCATATCCGAGAAGTCGGTGGACAATGAACTGGGCATCTGTCCTGCGGGGAACCAGCGCGCTTGCTGGGGTCGGGGTTTGAGTTCGGGGCTGAGGGTGTGCGGGTACGTGCTGTGGCCATCCCGGACCCGTCAGCTGCTCCTCACACCGCTGGTGACAACGTGTGAGCGTGTCATCTGTCCCGGTTACTGTTCAAGGGGAGAAGGATGGATCGATGGATCTATTCTCCATTAGAACTCGGTGCTGGAGGAGGGATTTTTTTTGTCCCCCCACTCCCTGGCAGCCCGGTCTCTGTGGGAGCTGCTGCTCCCCAGCACTGCTCTCCAAGCGGGTGAAAAGCAAACGTTCTGATGATGCCGTGGCAGTTGGGATACAGCCCAGGTACGTGGGTGCCGCTCTCCCTGCAGCTTGGTGGCCCAGCTCTGCTTCCAAAGTGTCTCAGCTTCGTAGCTGGGGGAGCAAGGGGGAAGGGGACCATGGTAGGGGCGTAATCGTTCAGAATGGTGGATTCCTGTAATAAAACAGTTTTCATCGAGCAAAATTAGAAGAGACATTAATGCAACTCTTAACAGCAACTAACTGCTGGGGGGAGTTGTGTCGGCTTGCTTGTTCTGTTTATGGGCTTCATACAATTCCATCAATATTGATGTATGATGCCTTTGATTTTGACACTAATCATTGCTATGAATTAAATTTGCAGGCATGTAATTAGGACTGCTATTAATAGGGCCTCAAGCTAAGCACTGCTGTGCTAGTTGTCTTTTTCCTGATGGAAAATGGCATCCACAGAACTCAACTGATGTGGTTTGCCTGGTAGATGCTGAGACTGATGTGAAAATTATACTCACTATATTTAGAGGGGCTCTTCTGAAAGGCAGATGCCTGAGAAGGGTCTGACTCAGAGGTTTCTCAAGAACTATACAGAAGTTGCCCTTAAAATTCCTAGTAGTTTGCTGCTCGTAAGATCTGTAGACTTAGTGGGAGAGAGGAGTACTGCAGGAAGAAGGGAGTAACCCTCAGTATGAAGGGCTGCTATCACAAGCCTTATTTCCATTTCAGCTCCCCTTCCTCGTGCAAATCTTCCCATTTATTTCTCCCACCCAATGCTGTTTCAACTCCCTCTGTCCCTGTGCACGCCCGGTTTCATCTCATCAGGCTGAGCACAGTGGCTGGGATCGCAGCCCAGCTCACCACTAAAATCAATCTTGTATTTCATCCCAAGAGGTGTGTTTCTTATTAGATCTAATAAATCAGTGAAGTGCCCTTCATTCAGCTTGTCAATGGAGGACATTGTTTGTGATCAAGAATAAATGTATGTCTCTGCTGTGTCTGACAGTGCACCCTCTGTGCATTATTTTACCATCGTGCTGTTTACTCCTGCTGTTGGAAGAACACAGTTGCCGCAGCGGGAGCCTGCAGCGTCGCCGTCCCTGGCCGATGTTCGCGTGAGCTGGGTGTGCTGCTGGCCGGGCCCATGGCTGGCTCCCAGGGACAAGCAGCGCTGGTGACGCTGTGGCTGGCTTTCTCTCGGCGCCGAGTTGCTCTGGTGGCGATAAGGCTTTGGTCTCTGCGCTGGAAGATGCTCAGAGGTGTGGGATGCGCTTCTCTGTGCTGGCTGTACGAGAG